ACATATTTTTGTTTTAATTTTTATTTCTCTGTTTTCAGAAAAAAAAATATTTGCGTACGTTTCTTTTCATATATAAAAATTTGGAATATTTATTTAAAAAAAAAAATTTTTAATATACAAAATATGTTTAATACATAAATCGTCTTCCACATATACATACATACATACATATACATTCAGTTAATTTATTTATTTTGCCTTCCAGTAAAAACCAAAATACAAAACTTTATTGTAACATTGAAAATTAATTGATTTATTTGTAAAATTACAATAATTAATTTGAATTGTTCATCTCTTGACATTCATATTGTTCATCTTTTGACACTTCGCCATACTGTATAAATAATGCAATTCATATTAATTTTTCAATAAAATTTTCATTGAATTATAAAATTTATAATTGAATTTTCTAGTGAAAAAGAAAAATTATATTTAAGTTATATTCAACTCTATAATAAAGTACTGAATTTAATAGGTACAATATATGCATTGAATTGCAATTTTACATCAGACTTTGTTTGACGGCAAGTAATACGAATTGTCCTATTCTCATAAAGTTTACTGTTAGGTTTTTAAAAGTAAAATGGCGGCAATTAATTTTTTCGTAGCAAAATTATTAAATTTTAGTGTAAGAACTGACCGCGATCATATATAATTTCATTTTAGTGTGTAAACAGTACCTTACATATATTATAACTCGCTCTTGTACCACCTAAAAGGTTAGAAAACGTGGATGTATATGTATGTACATATAATATTATACTTATACGAAATTACGCAAAAAATTCGCAAATTAAATATTTAGTTAAATTTTCATTAAAATTTTCATTAAAGCATTTCTTAACATAAATTCTAATCTCTAATTATTTAATTTATATAAAAATTTTTTTTTTGTAAAAATATTTAAAAATATCAGTTTCTAACTCTAGCAAATTTTATGAATTAAAAAATTTCAGAATTTTAGGATCCCTTTTTTTTACAAAAAAAAAAGCTATTTAAACTCTTAATTGATTTTTTTCCAATCAAATAATTTTATCTATATAATATAGAGACATTAAAATTAATTAATGTCTGTCTATATGTATTTATTTAAATGTTATCAACTAAAATAATATATTAATGAATTTATAATATCGATACATTAAAAATTTATTAGGAATTTAATTAAATTTAATTTAATTCTATAAAAATATTATATTATATAGTATTACAATAATATTAAAAAAAAAATTTAAATTTTCAATTCAAAAAAAATGCAAAAAAAAAATTATTTAAAATTAATTTAAACTAATGGCAAAATTTAATTTAAATGATAAATCATTAATTTTTCCATAGAAAATTTTTATTTTATATAAAATCAATTAGGAATTATTTTCTAGTTTTTATTCATACAAAGCTCAAACTTCAACTGATATCTCCTAAGCCCTGTAATTTTACAAGTTTCACGAAGAAAGAATATGTTACGAGTTTTTAAATAAAACCATTTTGCGAGTGTAGGGTACTTGAAATTACAGTTTTTCATATTACAATCCTTAAAATAAAATTAGTTGTGATAATTTGTGACAAATTGATTGTATCTCTTGGAATTTCATTCAGAATCATAGTTTTACCATTATAAAAACATACTTATGTGCGCAGTTTAGCAACGCAGTAAAATCTATTTATATATTATTCTATTACATTTAGATTTAATATATAATAGATTTTATAAATAAATTGCAATTTTTATACAAACATTTATTCACTATTATTTTATATATATAATTTTTGTACATATAATTTTATAATTAAGTTCAGTTTCAATTTCTCCATTATGTCTATAGATAACAAATGGTCTTACAATAATAATTACAATATTTAAATACTTAGAAATCATTTTAATACGTTTTCTTACGTAAACATACGTTTTAATACGTAATCCAAAATTTTGTTTCAATGCATAAATATATATATATATATATATATATATATATAATTGAATATAAATAAAGACTTTTTAAAACCAATACAAAAATAAACTTAATCATTGATTTTTACTACAAATACAAATTTTAATAAATGCCATAAATTATTTCAATTGATGATAAATTATATTTACATAATCCCGTAAAATCTACTTTGAGGTAAACGAATTCGCCCTACGATAGGCAATATAAATTTAATATTTTATGTCCTTGTATTGATGTGGGCTGCAATTTTGAAGTTGGCATATACGATTAAATTGGCATGTAATGCGAAACAGTTTTCTTTTTAAAATAATTTTTCTAAATTCTGTTCAATTTCGTTCAAAGAAAGGTCATTTTTCAGTACATGTACAAAATTTTGTATTTTGTAAAATAACATAAAAGCAAAAAACATTTAAACATGCAAAACCAAATATAATAAAATTCAATTGATTGGTTATTCCGCCTATTAATAAAACATACACATGTTTATACATATTCATACTCAGCTATACATATTAACTCAGTAAAATTTTATAATTAAATAATTTATATTATTGTCATTATTATATAACATCTAAAATACTTTATTTGATAATTAGTTTAACTATTATCGAATTATTATTAATTACTACATATAATCTAAATCATCCTTATTTAACATATTTTTTATGCTATTAATAAATTATTAACTTCATTTTGTAATAATGTACAGCTACTTGTTTTTTTTTTCAACTTTTGACTTTTAGCAATTTATTAATTCTAATAACAATAATATAATTTAAAATATTTTATTAAATTCCCGATGATTAATGTGTCGTCTAGTTCAATGTTCATTTTATAGAAACAATAATTGAGTTCATCATGGTATATGCACTCTTTAATAATATTATAATAAAATGTAAAAATTGTCATAATTAATAAAGATTTATTTATTAAAAATATTAGGAATGCCTTTAAATTAGTTTCTAAATATTAATGATACATTGATCCTTTAATAAAAAAAATTATACAATCAAAATAACAAAATTATTATAGTTATATTTGTATTAAACATATATATATATATATGTATATATATATATATATATATATATATATGTATTAAGCATATATATATTTAAATGAGTATATGATTTAATGCAATATTTATTACAGTAAAAATTGAAATTTCACTATAAATTTTCTTAATAACAAACAATTTTTCATATTTTTCAAAATTTTAAATTTAATATTCGCCTATATGTATATATAAAAACACTGTTTATCTAGATTAATGAGCACACGTAAAATTTTCGGTGACTTATTTTTAATCACTTTCTTTATACTCAAAATATTTCAGTAACTCACTAAAGACTAATTTTCTCAATTGGATTTTTGATTTTTCTCACTGTATCATCCAATAATTGTAATATATCATTTAAACTAATCATGATAAAGAAAAGTGAATAAATTTTGGAAACTCAATAAATTGAAAACTCTCAAACTTTTCGAAAATATTTATGTATATGCGTAATAAGATTTAATACGTGAAAAACATTCTTCGCATTTTTAAAACTTGCATTATTCACTAGCACAAAATATTTATTCGCTTAATATTTACTTAACCAGTGAATTTTTAAATACAATTATTGAAGTGAAAAGATTTTATATTTGAAAATAAAATAATGTTCGGTAAAAGATTCAAGTACACAAGAAAATTAAGTGTCATAAAGTAATATTTTTAATTATACTTCCTCTTTCTATTTAATTTTCTATTTTCATTTGGTACCTATTCATTTATAGTCAACAGATGAACCTTTACATATAAAAACGCATATAAAAATTAAGATATGCATAAAATATGTTTTTCATGTTTAAATCATAGCCAAAATTTTATGTAACATAATATGTTTAAAATCTCGTCCTTGTAACATCAATAATTCAGTATAAATGAATTTAATGGCAAACTTAATAACGCGAATAAATTTTTTTTTACTGACGCATTAAAGAAGCATCTAAGCTAAGTCATTAGCAAATTAACATTGACATAGTAAAAGTTTATTTGATATTTATTTACAAATCCTTTTTATATATGTATGTACGTATAAAATAAATTTTCTCTTTGCAATAGTTCAAAGCATATATAATGGCTACAAGATTTATAATTATACATAAAAAATACAAAAATAAAATTTATTAGTTAATTAATTTAATCTTATTACTCTGATTTAATACTTTACATAACACATTATTGATCATTTTAATTAGCACTACTTCTAATATAATTCAGAAGATTTGAAGAGAAAAAATTATATTGCAATTTAATTTTAACATTAGTATTCGTTTTTTTTTGTTTTTAAAATGAAAGTTCTTAAATGTGGTAAAAACATTATTTTTTCATAATGGATTCTATATAATCATAAGTTCAACATATTTTGAACATGGTCTAACTAAAATGACCAGCAATAGTTTCTAATTTTTCACCATAAAAAGAAGGCTACACAAATACAAGATAAGATATTTTTGAAATATTTATATATGATCTATACATATGTTCAAAGAGTAATATATTTTTTTATTATAAATAATTATTCTTATATTAATTTTGTAATATTTTACATTAACCAGCTTTTTTATATTGTTTATATGATGAAGACTCCACTCATTGCATATAGTATGCAATGAGTGGAGTCTTCATTATATCTAAATCGCAATCGTGGTTGCGCTTACACAAAAGGTATTGTTATACTAAACTCATAAAATAAAGATAAAATAGGGATTGCACATAAATACTTTTACTCAAATAATCATCATTACTATACAAATATAATATTGTTGTGTCTTTCATTATTTATTCTGAATAGAAATTTGATCTACAAATTTATGCTTCTAAGAATTTCTCTAGGGCGTTAAGCCCTTTTTGATATATAAGGCATCATCCGAGAGCCAATTTGTTGGGGTCAATTTTTGCTTAAGTACATATTATTTAAAAAAATTTATATGCTTCAATGATTGCTTTTCCAAAAACAAATGATGGAGTAATTATGATGAATAAAACATAAAATAATAATGTAATTTTAATTAACATAATATTCTAAAAATTTTTATTTATTACTTTAAAATTTTTCTAAAAAAATACATAACAAAAACAATAAACTTAAAAAAACCTACTTTATTTGACTTTAACTTTTTTCGTTTTCTGCTTTTGAGTTTTCGATGAGCAACATTTTCTACAAATTAGTATAGGAATTGTGATAATTAAGATACCTAAAATAACTAAAACAGTTATAACATCTAGCGAATGGTAAACAAATCCACTCATATCGGCGGCTAAAAATTAAGAAAAATTTATTATTTTTATTACACATACACACATATTTGATATTAACAGACATTTTTTTTCCTCAAAAATTTCATACCGCAATAATTTCTAAAATAAAATTTCCAACAATATTAAAAAAAAAACAAAGAAATTCTAAATGTATTGAAACAAATTTTAAACCATTTAGAATTTGCAAAATTATCCTAGTTCAAATTATTATAAAAGTTTCCATACATAATTTGTAAGAATATACATACATATATACTTAAATAAAGAAAATGTACCGAAATGTTCATAGGAAAAAATAATGTCTGTAAAAATATAGTAAAAGCTCAAAAAACCTGGTGAATAAGTTAAATTGTTTCCTTTAGTTTTCAAAACGTGCTCAACCCACCATACAGCAGTATCTAGTGGTGAATTCTGACGATTACGATAAACTTCTGAAACATATTTAGCATTTTTTGCATACCTTAAAATAAAAATTTCATTTTTGAATTTTTCTATTAATTTTATAAAATTTTACATACTCTGGTTGACTAATCGTCCTAAAAGCTTCACTCAAGTTTTCTTCACTCTGAAAGAAAATTAAAAAAAATTTGTTAAAAAAGTTTTTAAAATAGTTCGAATTTCCAAAGCTTTTCATTTATGGTTTGGAACTTTGATAAATTTTAACTTTAGTTGTTTCAATTGTGATTAATAGTTCACAGGAACAGTATGCAATCTTAAAATTTATATTTTATAAATTATCTTTTATAGCAAAATGAAAAGAGGTTTAATTGAATCAGTAATAATATAATAATCATTTACCATATCTGTATGATAAAGCATAAGTCCCATTTTTCGATTCTCTGCAGCTTTTCCATTTAAAAATTGATCGCCATACAATGGTGAAACAATTATTGGTTTTCCACAATACACAGACTCTGAAGTACCTAAAAGTCCACCATGTGACCAAAATATTTTAACTTTTGGGTGACCTATAAGAAAACACATTTATTTTTAAAAATAGGAACAGTTAGTGTTCTATAAAAATAAGTGTTCTATAAAAATATGAACATAATATGTGTACATAATGTGAGAATTGAAATCAGAATAAATTTTGAAATTTATGAAATGATTCATACGAGTATTATGTAAAGAGATTAATTTCAGAGAAGTAAACTATCATTTTTAATATTTAATTTTGTCATAAACTTACATAATAATTCCTTTTGGGGGGCCCATTTTGTAAACATAAATTTTTTATTAACTGTTGGTAAATCATCAGATTCCCATTTCCATAAAACATCAAACGATTGTTGTTCAAGTGCATTTACAATAGCTTTAACTTTAGATTTTGGTAAAGTTGACATTTTTATCATTGAACCCCAGCTAATAAATATAACACCTTTGACAGAGTTTTGCAAAAATTCTTCAACATCCTATAGTAAACAATTAAATTAATTATATGAGATTTGAATTATTATAAATTGAAACAATTACTGTTACGCAATGTTAATCAAACTTACTTTCGGTATTGCAGCAGTATCATTATCATCAATATGAACACCACCAATTTCAACAACTCGATTTGGAACAGGTCTTGAACCACTTAATGAGTAATGTTGATTAATTAATAATAAACTTTGTTTCTTTGCCAAATCTTCGACATCAACATCGATTTTAAGATAATCTTTTATAAATTTATTATCATTTCTTTGAGTTATCGTTCTAAAACAGAAAATCTTATAAGTATTTTGTATAATATTGTCAAAAATTATATTTGTACATATAGTATTAATGGCATACATAATTATCTTTTAACATGAGATTTTCCTTAACAAATCTTTATTGTAGCAAAAATTTTATAAGAAATTTAGTTAGAAATACTGTTATTACTGTTAGATCTAGATTGTATTTCTATAATTCTGCGCCTATTAATTATTATGTTTTATGGAGTTTTAGATTCTTTGAAAATATTTTGCTTGTAATTCAATATCAAAAAAATTTTCATTTTGATATTATAATACTCGTAAATAGCTCAATTGGCTAACAAACATTGAAGCACACGTGCCTTCGTATAAATAAATACACGTATACACATCAATATGCATGGATATATTGGGAGATATTGTCACTATCATATATAATTTAATTAAAAAGCTATTGAGAAGTATATATACAAATATTTTGTTTATAAGTAAAATAATCAAAATTTCTTATTATAAGGCAATTTTTATATCTAATCTATTAAAAAAATTTGTCTGTATTATAATCATATTTAATATTAAATATAAACAAAGAGATATTTTATTAAAATATTGATTAAATTTCTAATTTAAAATAGCTTTGGCTTTTTCATTCTAAAATTTATTGTTATTAAGAAAACTTAAGCTCAAAATTTGTGTTCATCAAAATTTTATGTTCTTAATAGAGAAAGCAAATAGTTTTACTCTCTTTACGAAAAAAGTAAACAATTGAAGTTTAAACCAGTTTCATTAAATATTTATTCTTAAATTTAAAACTAACTTTTATAAAAATAAGTTTAAAGAAAATTAAATAGAATTTTTGAATTAGGCCAACCCATACAACCATTCACGATTTAATTTTAAACAAGTAATTTTCAAATGTTGATTAAAATTGGAATCGACAGTCTTGAATTTCGACTATATAGGTTTGATATGAGTAAATTGTGCTTAATATTAAGGTATACTACATGTACGATTTAAACACAGAGTTAGTTTTATTTTTTTTCACTGTAATTCTTATTGAAAATACTTCTTTTCTTTAAAAACTGCCGGTAATTTACAATGTAACACATTGTATACATATAATGATAACAAGACCACTTTCATAGAACATTAAAACAAACTAATCCACTTTAAGTGAGTTTGTCAAAATTATTGGCAAAATGATTTGTTATCATTTGAAATTAATAAAAAGATTAAATGTTATCACATTTTCACTCTTTTCTAATACATGGTTTCAATTTATTTAATATAAATTTAATATTCTGCATATATTTATTTAGTGAAAAAAATTAAATTTATTTAAAATGGCACAATCTATATAAATAATAAGTATAATATTCTAAATATATGATAAACAACATAATTTTGCAATTATAAAGTTTTTCATATAATTTTAATTTTGTGAATCATAAATCGATAGATCTTATAAAATATGGTATTAATGAAAGTAAAAATGTACAAAGTTCAACCCATACAAAACTGTAATAATGTTAAATTTTTTACGAAACATGTATAATATCAAATGTTATTTGCTTAAAGTATCTACAACTTTCGTTGTATTAAAAACAACTTGCATTTTTATACTATAAGTAAAATTTCTATCTTCATTACACAATTAGAATAAAATTATTATTTTCATCGTGATCATATTTCACAAAGATTTTGTATAGAAAACTTGAATCAAGTATGATCAATTCACGTTTTAAAATCTTTTAATTTGCTTATCTTCCAACCGAACACAAATTATTTCAGGTTTTTACTTATACGAACAATGTTTATTAATGAACAAAAGGCAAATTAAAGAGCAAAAATATAAAAAATTCTAAAATCAATTGTTATTTTTGTTTTTATCATTATGCAACTCTAAACCTAATTTTATTTTACTAAATGAAATGTATATGAATGGTATTACAGACTAGCATTTAAATCAAAGTCTATATAATAAAAACCTATAAACAGACAGTGCTATGTGCAGGGAAATCAATGTGAAAGCCAATACTAATAAAAGCCAATATAATAAAAAACGCATATGAAGGCTTAGAACAAGGAATTAGTTTCTTTATATTGTGGACTATTTATAATAACTAGTTTAGGGAATTAGTATTTACTAATTTCAAAAATTTTCCGAGTAATTTCACTTCTTATTTGCTTTCAAAGGTTGAATTCATTTCAAAAATTTAATTAAAAACCTTTAATTAAGCTCATATAAACCTTTAGAAGTAATTAGTTAAATCTTTAACTAGTGTATATTTTTTTCTTACCTATATAATAGAGCAACACTTTTTGTTATAATGAAATTAACAAAACGTTCATAAAAATTCATATTTTCATTAAAGCCAACAAATTCTGATGGTATAAATGATGGTGTATCTGGTAATGCAAAACGATTATAATGCCATGGCATTGCAACGCAACTACTTAATGCAATTACCGGTACATTTAATATATATGGTATGCCTAAATAACAATCCGTATTAAAGTTTTCTGTTATTACTAAATCAAATGGCATTGTTTGATTTTTATTTATAATTTGTTTAATAGCATCTGATTTATAAAAAATTTCACATGATTTACTACCCTCTTCACTTAATAAAAAAAATTCATAAATCATTGATACTAATGATCTTGATGGTATAAACATTTCAATATCAAAAACATGTGTTGTATCTTCACCAATTAAAATTATTTCATTGTAATTTGTTATTTTATTCTTTGATTTTGTATAAGTGACAACAGTTAATTGATGACCATTTTCAGCTAATTTCTTTAATATTGGGTAAAATACTTTAAAATGACTATAGCCTGGATGTGGAAATAATCCTAAAATATTTTTTGTTTCACTTATATAACAAAAAGATGCTATAAAAGTTAAAAATAAATATAAATTAAATTTCATTTTCAATAGGTTTTTTCCTTTAATTAATTAATTCTAATATTATCACAATTTTTATTTTTATAATTTTTCTGAGTATAACATAACATTAATAAATTCTGTTAAAATATTAACAGTCACATAAAATACAAACTATTACGTCTTATTTATGTATTGTTATTGTAAATTAATATATTGTAAATCAAATTAAATATTATATAACTTAAAATGCGTAACAAAAATAAGATTGATTATAGATATCAAGAATATTTTTTGTTGTTTTTTTATTATTGTTAACAAATCTCTTAAAAAAATATGAACTTATTTTATAAATATACACGAATTCGCTGAACAAACAAAAGAAATTCCCGAATCACAAACAATATTTTTTTCCAAATTAATTAAACTGAAAGATTTAAAGTCTGTCTGTAAGTCGGTATAATTTCATCAATTTAATACTAAATTTAAAACATTATGGCACAGTCTGAATCGAATAAAAGTCAATTCTAAACTATCTTCTTTAAACTCAACTTGATATTTACAAAGCTTTAATATTTTATGCTTTTTTATTTAAATTTCATTTTAATTTTTTTTTGTTTTTTTTTTTCGTTGTCTTATTTTAAAAAATTGATATGGGAAGAAAAGATTACAACAAAACGATTTCATTCATTTTATTTGTACGCTTCTATGTAATATAACAATTACATTGAAAAGGGTATAACATAATTCGATTAACTTTCACTTAATTAAAAAATGAAAAAATTGAAAAATAAAAATTTTTATTACTATAAGAAAACTTAGAGATTAGGAGCAACAAAGTAATTCAATTTTAATTCTATTTTATAAATTTAAAAATGATTAATCTTTAAAGGAAAAAATAGCTAAGAGACAACAGAAAATATTGCATGTGTCAAAAACCATTTATTTTTTCATGGGCTTTAAAAGCAATTGTTTTACAACAGCATTGAAGTAAATATTTGCTTATAATAAAATATTTCAAGAGTTTTAGAATAGTTATGTAGGTGAGAATCAAAAAAAAATTATTCCACTTTTTATAAATAATGAGATGAAGTATTTATGAATTCTCTCTAAAGATTCTTACCAAATACTATATTAAACTTGGCTCTAAGGCAACACGTACAGTCTTAAAGTGGATTTGAAAATTGACATCCTTTTTTCCAAAAACAAACAGTTCGAAATTCTCATTCAAGAAACACTACATTATTTACATACATGATACAATTAAGAATGAAAGTAACAAATTGAAGTCAAATTTTATACCTTTCTCCAAGAAACTTGAATACTACTTGCGAATATTAACTCGTTTTCCCAAATTTCAATAACTTTAAAGGTTTTTTTCTCAGCAAGTGAAGTAATTTAAAACAGAAGTAAATTGGATTTTGATTTTGTTATACAATTTTTCCATTTTTTTACGCGGTTGTTGCTGAACAACCAAGCTAATCTTTACTAAATTTCGATACTTCGTATTTTATTTCTTATTTTCCAAAAAACTGTCTAGTACTTAATCAATATAAAAATATTTTAAATGCATTACAAAATTATTGCTAGTAAAAGTTAGAAGAAGTAAGCGAGGTCGTAGTACATGATATTTCCATCAACATATTATTTACTTACGTTTATTCCATTTTATAACACTTAAAAAAATTAAGTATTCCGAAAAATATGATAGAATACACAAGATCTTACAGTTAATTCTTTAGCATAGTTTAACTAAAATTTACTACAAATTTCTATTATTTCCCATCTCATTTCCTTAAAAATAATTTTAACATACAAATCATAATTATTTTCTGGTAATGACGTCTTTAGTTGACATGATCAACTACATTTGTTTTTTGCTTCTTTTTAATGTGAAAATTACCCATATTTTTATATTCATATATATGTACATATATAATCATGTTAAAATTATACATATATTAACGTTCTTAACACAAAAATGAAAAAAAAAATATTATTGGAAAGCACTTAATCATTTTGAAAATTAGTTTACTATTAAGAATTTCATTTGGAAACAATGAGATTTTTAAATTTAAAATATATAACTTCAAAGTATTAAAAAAATTCTAAAAATATATATTGCAATGTTTATTTGAAAGCTTCGATTACTTTCTTTACATTATACCGTTCCCTAAATCTTTGATTTCCGCGGAACAATAGAATATAAAAAATTTAAGATATTTCTACCTAACCATTGAAAATTTTGTATTTTGCTTGAATCCGATTAAATTTTAGAATGTTCATGTGCCGCTTATCACACGGTAAAAAGAATTTGTTTTCGCCTATTTTTTCATATCTAAACTTTTAACTTTTATTAAAAAAGTTTTACTTTAATTTATTTGAAACGAGAAGTATAGGAATAAGGATTTGATTATTGTATAGGCTAATTATAATTGACAAAGGCTCCGAAATTCGATCACGTTATTAATATAATAATATTAATAACTTACAATAAATTTGCATAAATGAGATAAAAAAAAAATAATGAAAAACTGGTCTATGTACATGTATAAAGAGCTTAAAAATATAGGTACTTCTGCATATATGCATATAATATAGTTTTGTTACTCATATATTAAGATACATTGTTTTACACTTTTTTGTTTTCTTTTTCTTTAAGCCTCCCATTAAACGTTTATTGAAACAATAGACTTATACAACTCATTCGTGAAACAAATCGTTTTAATGCAAAAAAAAACAAAACGAAACAAAAGCAATTCATTGCACTTTTAACTAAAGAGGATCTTCAAAAAATAACAAAATGAAATGCAGTTAAACTGGTCAGGTATGCAATTTATCCCTTGTAAACAAAACAAAATAAAAAGAAATTAAGTTACATATGTTTCGTTTTTTCATTTTTTAAAAACGAATTTTATATTAGCTTCCCATTCAAAAGTATAACATTGATTAGGAATACAACAAATGAAGTTAGAAATGTATTAGATCCAAATATATCCCAACCTTTTATCAATGACGAGAAAACAATCGATGAGCGGATTGTTAATTTTAAATATTATACATTTTTCAAGTTAAAAGTGATAAATACTGCAAAATTGAATAAAAATTCTAATATGCTGCTGGCATTATGTTAATACAGTTTGGTCGTAAGAATATTTCCACAAATTATTAAAAATTGGATGCATAAAAGTTCGGTAATTATAAGTCTAATGAAAGTCTTCAAACAATATTCCATACCCACATAAGTACCTGCTCATTTTCAGTTTTATTTTACTCTTTTATTGAAATTAGTTATCCTTGATCCTCAATGATTTATGAAGGTTCTCTTACCACTTTTTAAAGCGGGCTGTGTCAAAGTGTTTGATAACATTTATAATCCAATTATTGCTGTTAAAAAACTATTCCACTGAGGTTTGGGAATAACCTCATCTATATCTCAATGCAATCGCAAATTGCTTTTCACCTGTTTTTCAACTCTATATATGAAGAGCTACTGATTCTACAAATATTTAATATGATATGCTTACTTACTATAAAGATACTTATTTTTGCTTAACGAGAACATATCATACTTTCGATCAATTTTATTTTTTCATCACATATTCCCTATTTCTTATTTATATTGCTTGCGCAGTTCAATGCAATTGAAAAGTTTCCATTGTCAGAGGTCCAATTACTTAAGATTGTGCACATGTGTACATACATTCACATACATATATTATTTTCATGTTGTGCAAAATTGATGTTTTATAGAATACAGTAATGATTAATTAGCATTTCATCGGAACTTGCTTTATCTGCATAATTTACAATGTTAGTTTTCCTAAAACATGTTATTAATTATTTATTTGTAATAAAATTTTCAGCCGAAATTTTTCATTTTCAATATGTAGCAAATGTTTATGTTTATATTTCAATCAATTATGACATTTACATTAATGACAGCGGTGGTGTTTAAATTATTTGACAAACGTCGAAAGCGTCAAAATTAATCGGTACTTCAAATTTCAATCCACTGTGGCGCTGCAGATCAATTTAAATTTTTTTTTATTTTGACGTTTTACAGTTTTCTGCGCGTTAAATTATTTGAATTTCCTTAGTATAATATTTTTGATTTTAAATTTATACATATATAAAAATAACTAATTCTTTAACAAAAATTAAATTTAAATTTAAAAGTTTTGTCACTAAAACCTATTTTTTAAACTTAAATTTTGTTAATAACAGTTGTGGTATATTTATTTAATAATTTCACTCAAATTTATTACAAAAACTTTTAATTTTTTGCTGTTCTAAACAACTTAAATTCTTAAATACTACGAAAGAAAAAAATTATTCTGATTATGCAGATATTTTAAATAATTTTAAATGAATTGTGTATGTATTTCAACACAAAATGACCTGTTAAATAGTCGCGGGCAATAACGGAGCCAAAAATAAACTAATATTCTATTTTAAAGGGACAATAAAATTTATTTGTCAAATAAGATTGAAAACCAAAATTTTGTTAAAGTTTCGAAAATCAACAAAAAAATGTTTGTTTTAAATTATGTTCTTTAAGGATCGTTGTTCGTTAAATTAATTCAACACAAACGGTAGTTCGAATAATTCTAAAAAAGATTGAAATTTTTTGGAATATAGTCAATGGTATGGGGTGACTTTTGAAAATTTTCCAAGAACCTACATAATTAAATTGCTTTCAAAACATTAATTAAGAAAAAAAACCTTCAAAAACATTTGTTTTTATAATAAAAACAACAATTTGATGGCTCCTATAATAGAAAACAGATTATTACAACAAATTTATAAAAATCGTTTAAAGAAAAGTTTATACAACGTGTTTGTGAATGCATAGTACCTATAATATAAATATAACGTCTATCTAAATCTTCGCCGTTCATATACATATATGTAAATATATATGTATGTACACAATATCTATTATCACGGTATGTTTTCAATACCTTCACTTTTGTTATACTTACTTAACTATATATAGTATACGCATGACAAAAGCAAAAATAAAAAATATCTTCATTTTTCAAAATTTTCATCAATACTTTTAATTCTCCTTCAATTCACCTTTGAAAAAAAAAAATAAAAAAAAAACATCGAAAGATAATAAACATAGAAACATCAACAAGCGGCGGAATTCCAAAATTCCTATATTTTGGGATAATTTTATGAAAAGTCATGACGTCAACAAAAAAATTGTGGTGAATATAAGTATTGCATAAAAATTTACATTTATTACGTATGCTTAATATGCATTTGGAAATTAAAATCAACTTGTTGAATGTTTATTTGAAATCATTGTCACTTATACTTTATTAAATATTTTACCTACACACACACACTTGATTGTTATTTTATTTAGTTATGACAAAGTAATATGTGACGAGTGAGTCAATATAGAAATGTTAAAATATATGATGGTGATTTTAGTTAAACCGTTAAAATATGAATGTGGAACTTCAGCTATATAATATACATAATTCATATTTATATATTATCTAAAGTTTAGTAATGTTGTAAAATTTTCGATAAGGTTGTAAAATCTATAAGTGTATATGTACATATGTATATAAAATAATATTTCAGAAATTGCGGGATGTAATAAATGAGTAATTTTTGCAAAAATAATGAAATTCATTTTCTATGATAACGCAACTAAGGTTGTCTTAAAACGCAATTATGGTTGCATACTACAGGTTATATTAGTCGTTTTAACATTTTGAAGTCATTTAAAATTAAAAGTTAGAAGGATAATAATTTCAATTAATTTTAAAAAATAACACTTTTATTAATAATAGAATATCACAAGTTGAAATTGTTGGCGAACTTAAGTACACATACATATATGCAGTTCATAAAACATTCATTTGCAAATTTATCAGCAAGGAAATATTTCAAAAATGTGTTCTATACAAATATTCCTTCCCATCACCTTTATGGTTCCTTTTTGTTAACACGAATAATAAAAATTCCAAAATAAAAAATATCAGCTGCCTTAAACACATTTTACTTACACATTCTTAGCAAAGGTCGACAAAACAAAATTTTTTTTAAATTTTAGGGACCAACAGCCAATGATAAAATCATTGTGTAAAAATATTTTTGTTTATGATTTTCTATATATACTTTTATATAACGTACATATGTTTGTACATTGAATATGAGAATGTATATTAGAAAATTCAATTCATACACTACGTGACACATTTTTTATTTTGTTTTTGGTGTACATACATATATACTTATGTTTAAAATATTTTTTTCACCACACCTATGTTGAATAAAATATTTCTTTTGATTTTGGAAATTTTTATTCCCTAATTTTTTATTTGAGTTTGTTACTTTACTATGTACACGTTACTGTAAAATATCACAAGCGGAGTAAAAAAAAAAATGAAAAAAACAGTATTTTTCTGAATAAATTTAAAATTTTTATAAAAAAAAAATATTTTGTTTGCTATTATCAGAGATTAAGGAAAAAAAATAATTTTCATATATTTTTGAATTTTATATTATAATTTTATATTCCTTCAGTTATATGTATGTATATATGAGTGTGTATGTACATATATAAATTTTGAAAAAAAAAATATTAGAATTTTAACAAAAAGTGAATAAAATTAAGAGTGCAAACCTGAAATTCATATTGAAAAGGTTTGAACTTAAATTAAGTTAATTTTGATTTTGAAAAATTAAATATAACGCAATATGGGTGAAACAGTTCCAGCCAAAGGCAGCATTTTAGGCAGTAAGTATAACAGGCTTACATTATGTACGATATTATAGTTTTAAAAATGCAAATCTACTTAAAATATGTATAAATTCATTGATAAAAAATGAGGAAAAGTGAAAATTTTAGAATCAAATTTTTATATAGTCCATGACCTTCAAGTAATAAAAAAAGGTCAAGAAATGCCAAATACAAGTAGTTGTAAATATTATTTTTTGAATAATATTTTATGTATGTAAATATATTTTATTACCAAATTGAATAATTAAGTGAATAATATAAATAAAGAATTTTCTTATCTATAATGTTTTTCAAGGACCTCTTTTATTATCAATTTTTACTTTCGATTTCAATAATTCTGTTATTTCTTTTCTCTTTTTTTTTTTTGTATTTGGATAAATTTAATGAAAAGCATATACATATGGATATAATTTCATAAAATACATAATCTTTCATATCACAACATTGTACATACTCATATGCTAATATATATACTCGAAATATAGTTTTATAAACCGATAACAGACATGTCAATGAACTATATAATTATGGTATAGATAAAAGAAGTGCGTAAGTTTTTCTTTAGGACAAAAGCTTTATAAAAGATGCTATATACAATAGATACTTATTTTTTTATATATACACATATACACGTAGCAATATATAAAAAAAACTTAATTGTTTTAAAATATTGTAAATTGATTTTTATTATTTACTTACCTATACAGAGATATAAATAAGTAATTTCCTAAGCTTACTTTACCTCTTCTATGAATTTTTACAGCATATATGTATACGTTCACGTGCCTATCACGCTAATATGTTGATGTTGTGCAGATGTCTCAAAAAGAACACGTATAACAAAATGGATTCCATTCCCTATAAATCCTTAACAGCAAAATATAGTTACCTTAATTGTACGAATACATATAACATATATCCATACAATATATAATACTTTATTTATATTATACCTATGTAATATGAAGGTCATCCTAAAGTCATAATATAAAATATTCATAATACATTATAAGAAATAGAATGATTGTCGATGAGTGTTTAAAATAACTATAATAAAAAAATGTTATTAAACAAATTAATTAAAAAAATATTTAAAATATACAAACTAAATTTTAAAATTATAAATTTTAAAATTTTGTAAAATTCCTCATTTTACTCTTAGAGTTCATTTTATCGGAACTTTTTTGGTTCATCTATATAGTAATGTATATATAGAAATTTGAACAACATCGTATTTATATGAACTAAATGTTCCATTGTATATGCGATTAAGGATTCTAAATACGAAATAAAAATATTGTCAGGCACTTGTGTCAGAACACTTGAAAAGTATACGAATTTGTATTACAAGAAGGAATTTATAAATAATTTATGGTAATAAGTAAATTCAACAAGTTTACGATATTAAAATATCTTTTGTCTATTTTATTTGAAATAATGATTCCAAAACAAAATCGTGGAGACAGAAAACTTAAACAAAATATGTAAAGGATGATAAACTCATTTTCTTTTAAATAAATGAAAATGAAATACTAAAGTGTTATACATGTATATTATTTGTATATTATATGATAGACATATGTTTATATATATATAATATTATACAAATGTAAATATTTATAGTAAAAATTTTTGTAGAAGACGGTTTTGTAAAAGATGTAAAATAAATTACAATTTTTATTAAAATTGAAGCGGGAAGCTAAATTTTTCTAGGATCTATGAATGTTTATTTATTTGTTTTTTTTTTTTAACTTTCCTTCAATTGTATGAGTAAAAAATTTTATTTTTACTTATTAAAATCAAAAAATTTTCTTAAACAGAAAGAATTTCTCGCATAGCATTAAACCATGTATATAGTAAATTGCCAATACTAAGAAATTGTGTAAATTTTGAATAATTTATAAATGATTGAATATTTAAGGAATCATCAAATTTTTTAGCAATTTATTCAATCAATTTTTTATTTAACTTTCAATAAATTTTTAATAATGAGGAAGTTCAAAATTAAAGTTTCTATATACACGAATTTATTAAACCTACAAGTACATTAAAAAAATAAAATTTTAAAATTTCGTTAATATTTTTGTTACTTGTTCTCTTTAATAAAGAGTTCGTTGTTCTTCTTCATTAAATCACAATTTTCTTTTATTACATACATACTTTCAAAAAACAGAATAAGAAAATCAAATATTTTGTTTGTTAACAAAAACTTATAACTGTTATAAATTAATTAACAAAACAATATTTATGAAAAAGTGGATCAAACTTTTTAAATGATTTTCATAAATCACTTAAATAATTTCTATTAAATATTTATTGTATATCTACATATTTAAAAAAAAATGGGCAATGGCAATTACGTGCCAAGTGTTAGCAAGAATAAAAAAATATTAAATTACAAAAATAAATATTTTAATTGCTTGTCAAAATAGCGATTTTAGAAAAATTAAAAAAAAAAATTAATTTGACTTTATTTGATGGGGCATAAATTTTACTACTGTCTATTTATAATGTTTGTAAGTTTTTAAGTGCTTTTCATGTTTTAACATAAATATAGTAAATTGAAATACAATTCTAATTAATTTTATAAATATATTTTTATGTAAACAAAGAATATTTTCATAAAATTTTATTTTTAATTTTAACGTTGAATTTATTCAAAAATTTAATTCAATTTAATCAATTTAAGTGAAATAAATGAAATTTCAAATATTCGAAAATTTCGATATGTATAAGTGCATTATGTAGGAGTAATTCCTTAGGTTAACTAGGAATAATTATAGCCATTCTTAAAATATAGTACCAACATTAAATTTAGAAGAAACTTTTCCTTTAAGTTTAAAGCATTGTGTTTTAAGTTGACTATCGGGCATAATTTTGGGGGGTATTAAAAAAAATTTAATAAATTTTTTATTATTTGCTGGAAAACTATCAGCATTACCATTTCGACCTTCTTATGTAGAGTAAGTTATGACAGTTCAGAATATGAAATTTCGATCGAAGATCAATGAGAAATTTCATCAAAATTTACATTTCTTTAAAAAATTATGCTCACTTTTTGTCTAATAAGTACACCAACTTATGTCTTAAAGATTTTTATAAAAATTTATTATCTTTATTAAAAAAATTCTAAATATAAAAAACAATAAATAAACATGAGGCTTTAATTATAAAATTTTAATATCACTTAATTACTGTTGTTTTGTTATCCATCTTCTACGGGTGGTTTTATTATATACTAGAGTTTTGTTATAAAAGCGATATTACAAAACAAAAACTGCAATAGGCAATAACTGTTATATAAAAGTAAAAAAGTTTATATAATTTTCTGTAAATAATCTCGTTAAAATGCGAAAATTTGGTAATGTTTATGAACAAATTACATTAGCAACATTTGTTAATAAACATAAATATAGTGCAGTTTTTAAAACATGTTGCTATATACTATTTTTAAGCTCTTAACAGCCTATTAAAGCTATATCTACATATTGGAAATCAAAATGCCTAAAACATTTTCATTTAAATAAATCACAGCTGGAATAATTTAAACAATTTTTACGATTTTTAAAAAACTTTTATATTGGAGTATCTTTTTTCTTATTGTTTGAAATAAAAATTTAAATAAAATGTTTTAAAGGTATTATTGTTTACTCTATGAGCAATCATAATTTAGAAATTATTTATAAAAATCTTTGAATCAAATTAAAATTAAAAATACATAAATTTCTAATAAAAATCTGAAACGAATGCATTCTGAAATACAAAGTCATTTCAATAATAAATATACAAAATTTTATTTTTAGATTATAATTTCATGTATGAAACAAAAACAAAAACTAAGCGATCTCCAACGCAAAAGAATTTTGTAAAATGAAATTATAATGAAAAAACAAAGAATAGAAAATTATTTATTATATTTATTAGATATTATTATTAAATATTTTGTACATTTAAAGAAACAAAAAACAAAATAAAATAAAAATATTTTTGAAACATTATCACTCAAATAATAAGAAATTTTCAAAAGAAATGGAGACGTTTTATACAAGGTCAAATTATATTTTGTCTAGAGTCCAGCCGATTATTGAAAAAATATTTATAATCTATATTTATATTCAGTATATAGAAATGTTTATATATAAAATTTAGGATTGTTTTAAAATTTTAGGTGTTTTAAATATTAAGTGAAATGTTGGGCAAACCTATGTAAGGACTTAAAATCTCTATAGTAAAATTTCATTAATTATTATGAAAATTACAACACAAATATAAAATACACTATATACAAATAAATTCTTCTTAAATGTTAAAAGTTTAAAATTTTTGACAAAGCAAATTCTAAGAAGAATTGAAAGAGCCATTTAAGAATATACGAGTATGTATGTATAGTAGCGCCTCATTAAACGAAGTATGCACATATATTATAGAAATTCCAGTAATCTACAATACTACAGTAATGTGTTTTGATAAATTAAATTAAACTATTGCAACTTATTATTAAAAATTACGTTTCGTTGCGATTTGTAACGAAAGCGTTTTTAAAAATTTTTAGGAACATAAAGCTTAAACTTCAATTAATTTCTAATATACGAATTTTCAATTTATACAATTATTATTTAGAAAATTTTATATTTTATGTATTCGGCGTTGTCAAATAGAAAATACAAAATTATCCGAAAAAAAAATATAAATTTCCCGATTTTTGTTATAACGAGATTTTCAATAAAATGTTATGTTCTTCGTATTTTAATTATGCTTTTTGTTTGCTATAAATGGATATTAAATAACTTTTATATTTTTTGAAAAAATCACTATTTGCACTTTAAATTGAAAATGACAGAAATGGCAACTAAATAATTATTGCCAAACAAAATTTAAAATAAGTTTTCTGTTTACAAAAGCATAAAAGGTGAGTTATGTACAAGATCACCTTTAACGTACTAAGTATGTACATGTTATCAAAATATTTAAACAAAAAATTTGAAATTACCTAAAATTAGCAAAGTAAGAAGTGTTAGTCGATATTATCAAAAATATCAAATTACGGATAACTACGCTAGGTTTGGCAACCCGTATGTCTTCATAAGGTGCTGAAAAGTTTTAAAATACTCGCAATTTTTATACCAAATGTTTTATAATTGTGTATACAAAATATAACGAGTGCATGTAACCTCGTATGTACGCATAATTTTTAATACAAAAAAAAATTTAATTTGAACTTAACGAAAATACCTTTAGATTTCATTTTAAATGAAAAAGAAATTAAAATTTTCCTTCTTTATTTTGTTTTTTGTTTTAGAATGTGTTCCATCAAGATATGTATTAGCCGTACTTGGTTCAATTGGTATGGCAATTGTTTATGGTTTAAAAGTTAATCTTAGTGTTGCTATGGTTGCTATGCTTAACCATACCGCTGTAAAAGAATTAGGAGGATCTGGTGGTCATGGTGGTCATAGTGTTGGACAAAATATTTCAACTTTAACAACCAGTAATGTTGAAGTGTGTGAGCCGCCGGATGGAGGAGCATCTGCCTCTCATAAAGCTGCAGTAAGTTAAAAGAAACTAAAATAAGCTTACACATTAAAATTAGTCTATATGAATATGTAATATGTATATTGACTTATATAAACATTTTCCTTAAACACGAGTTAATTGAAAAATATATAAAAGCCTTATAAATATATAAAAGCCAAGTGTTATAAATCTTTACTTATCAATCACATTCTTCATTTTAGCAATTTATTTATTGTGCTCTGCCTAAACATAATGCTCATTATATCTAAATAGAAAATAGTTGAATATATTATTATGACTTTAAAAATATAATTTAATTGATGAATATTCTTGAATATCTAATATTTGCTACTACTTTAAAAATATTATGATTGTAAATTAATTAAATCACCCAATAATTTGAAGCGCAAAAATTCTTTATATTTAACACACGCTTTCAAATTTTAATTTTGTTTTTATATATATGTATATGTACGTAAAATTAATTTGAATATTCTAGCATGTGTACATACTCCGCAATTTTTATTTTCATATTTTGTTTGTAATTATTATGCAATGATTGTATCAACACTGACCAAAATTAGATTATTCAAATCAATCTAAAAGGGGTCATATTGACAAAATATAAATCAATTCAATTTTATATCGAGCAGATACCGACACACATATATATTTTTGAAAAGCAGTTCTTATATTTTTCGACTCATGTATCACAAACTAATATATAACCACACATCTATCAATATTTATATATAAATTTTAATATCTTATCAATTTATTGGTAATAATTTTACACAAGTACTTATATTTTATCACATCAATTAAAAGCTTTAAGACTTTTGTACATATTCTAATTGTATTTCTTTTTTTCAGGACGGCCCTTTTGTATGGAGTGAACCTCTGCAAGGAACATTGCTCAGTTGTTATTTTTGGGGATATTTAGCATCACAAATCCCTGGAGCAAGAGTAGCTGAATTATTTTCTGCAAAATGGGTTATGTTCTTTTCGGTTGCTATTAATGTTGTTTGTACTCTACTAACACCACCATTAACAAAGCTCGGTTATGTTGGTTTAATTTTTGTACGTGTACTAGAAGGTATTGGTGGTGGTGTAACATTCCCTGCTATGCATTGTATGTTAGCTACATGGGCTCCACCAACAGAACGTAGTGTTATGTCAACAATTGTTTATATTGGTACAGCATTTGGTACAGCAAAATCAATATTATTAGCTGGTGTTCTTGCTGATCAATGGGGTTGGGAATCCGTATTTTATGTCATGGGTGGTTTAAGTTCTATTTGGATGCTTTTATGGGCATTTTTAATAAAAGATCATCCAAATCAACAAAGATTTATGAGTCAAGAAGAACGTGAATATATTTTAGCTGGTTTGGGATCTGGTGAAGGAGGTCACGAAGAGAAACGTTTACCAGTACCATGGAAAAAAGTTTTTACTTCATTACCATTTTTGGCTATTTTAGTTGCACATACATGTAGCAATTGGGGATGGTATATGTTTTTAATTGAAATTCCATTTTATATGAAACAAGTATTAAAATTTGAAGTATCAAGTAATGCAGTTGCTAGTGCTTTACCTTATTATCCGATGTTCTTATTTAGTGTTTGTTTGGGAAAATCATTGGATTTACTTCGATCAAAAAGTACAAACTACAATCATTATTTATATTTATATTTAATATGATATTCATATTCGTTGTAATAATTTTGCAGATAAAATTACAACAACAACTGCAAGGAAAACTGCTACAATAATTGCATCTCTAGTACCGGCTATTTGTTTATTTATTCTCTGTCATATTGGATGTCGTCATACAGCTGCTGTTGTTATAATGGCTATTGGTATAATAGGTATTGGGGGAATGTTTTGCGGCTTTCTATCAAATCATATTGATATTGCACCTAATTTTGCTGGTACACTTGTAGCTTTAACAAATACTGTAGCAACTCTCCCTGGAATTATAGTTCCCATATTTGTTGGTTTCATGACTAAAGGAAATGTGAGTTTAAATGTTTTGTTATTTAATTTACTTATTTTATATGAATAGCATTTACTTTATTTAATATTTATAATTTAATATTTTTTCTTTTTTTTTAGCAAACAATTGAAGCTTGGCGTATAATATTCTATGTAACTGTAGTCCTGTTCGGAATTGAATTAATAGTTTTTACAATATTTGGATCAGGTGAAGAACAATCATGGAACAAACCTGAAGCAGGATTTGATTCAATTGAAGCACAACCATGGAATGAAACAAAAAAAGATGACAAGACTAATGAAGAAACAACTCCACTGAAAGGAAATACAAAACAATAAAATGATTTTGAAGAAATCAAACAAAAAAATAATATAATTGAATATATTTTAGTTATGTTAAGTTTTTTTTTTAAGTTACTTTTACATAAAACAGACATTAAAGTAGATTTTGATTTTTTATTTTTATAAAGCAGATATTATTTTTATAACTTTTTAAATTAATTAACCGAATCGTTTATAATAAATTTTATATTTGTAAACTTTTATATATACTTTTATATATAAACTACTTACAGACATAGGTTTGTTCAGGTAAATAAAAAGGATCATGTAAATATATGTTTTCTTCACTTATCACATTAGATAAAATACAGAACAGTATTAATGATAAATTTTTAATATTTAACCCATTAATTCATCTCAAACTTTATTCAAACTTTTCATTAAAAAAAATATTTTTATTACGATTGAGTTTTTTTTATTAAATTTGATAATCTAGCTCACGAAATGTAGAAAATAAGAAAAACTTGTACAGACTATGTTATACTAATGGGCAAACCTATTGCATGATTTTAAAAAGAGATATTAATTATTTTATTTGCTTATAAATATTATATGTATATTGTTGTTCAATATAAATAATGAAACACAGCCAATATAGAATATATCTGGCTTATAACGCTAATCAATCATCAAAAATTATATTTTACTTTTAAATTTTTATACCTATAGATTATATCTTTTATAAGAATTTCATAGCAATATAGGCAGATTATATTCGAACACATAGCTGACAATATAATAAAGATACATGAACATGTACCAGACAAAGTAAGATTATTCCTCTATTAGAATGAATTTAATTTACGAATAAAATTATTTACAAAGAAGAAGTTTTTCTACCGTTTACAATTTAAATAATATAATTATATGGTTTAAAATCATATTAAATAAAATATTAAATAATTATATTAAATAAAATAATTAAAGTGAATTTATATAAAAATATTCAATTATAGTTTGTTATATTATATATAAGAATCATTTGTAAATTTTAATTTTAAGAAACTAATACTTGCATATACATTAGTACGTGTATATGTATATACATATCTTTAAGTTTAAAAATATACATATTATTATGTAAATATGAATTTATAATTTATTTTGAAAAAACAACTAAGTTTAGAAGAATATTCAGAGTATTCTTAAATTAATATAAATTCAGAGTGCATAAATGTAACCAAAGCTGCTTTGTTGGATTAATGTTGAATTAATGAAGTAAATACCAAAAAAATTATAATTTAAATGTACATAAATAGAAACGAAAATGACTCAATGTAATATATAGGTATTTTATAGCTAAATATCTCTGCCGTCTAAATACATACAATACACATTTTAGTATAAATACATAATGATATAAATATTAACTGTATTTTTATTAAAATATAATAATAAATAAATACATATAAATTGATCGTGCAATTAAAAATTTAAAATACTAAAGCTTTTGGTACCTACATAAAATATTTTTGTTAAAATAAATAGTGAAAAACATAAATAAATTCGTAAATAATGAAAAAAATTAAAAATTGAAATATTTCATTGATTATTAATATATTTTAATATTTTATATGCTTTAATATTTTCTTGCATCCTTCAAACTCCTACTGTATGAATGTCAAGATGAAAGAAAATCCCATTGAAAATTATTTCGCTATGAAATCCTATTTAAATTCAAAAGTACATTTATAACTACACCAGAAAATAATATTGCAAGATTTGTCATGTAAAGTAACACAATTCCATTAAAAAAATAAGTACATATAATTATTATATAGTCATATAGATACTTGTAAGTATTTTAAACCCTTTTGGATAAAAGAAATTAATAATATATTTAATATTAAAATAATTAATGTCATTGCATACTTTTCGGATGAGAATAAAAACTAAAAGTAACGTACATATTAAATGATTTCGAATAATCGTTCGAATGATTTCCTATGAAATGTATGTACTAAAAACTTCAAAGACAAATTAAATATATGTATATTTCAAAAAAAGATTTTAGCAATCTATCGTTAATCGAAGTTTTTTGAGTCTTAACAACCTTTGTTGGTTTCAAAAACGAAGCATAGCTTAATTATTTTTTGGGCCTTGATCTCTGGTATGGACATTACAAATTTTGAGAACAACTTGCCAATTGTCATATTAGAATCGAAAACAAAACAAGAGCGATTTATCCGCGACGAGATGTCAAATTTTAAGTAGAATTATAGGTGACTCTGCAGAATGATGCGATATTACAGCTGTGAACTTAACCGACGGCGGTAAAATAACCTAAAATCCATCATTTGCTTCTAAGTGTGTGTGACATTAGATACAAATTACTTAGTTGTTTTTGCCGTTCCACTGTTCTCCTGTGTTAACAACGGAAATCGTACGTCATTGCCATTCACAACATCCAAAGACAGAATTTTTAAAATTATAGAAACCCATAATTTTTTTAAAAGATTTGGTAGACTACTTTAGGATTTCTCGGTGAATAATATTCTTAAGAAAAAAAAATAGTAAAAATTATATTGGAAAATTTAAAATTGCGTTGTGATAAGTTGGAAAACGTAAAACTTAAAAAACGGTAACACTTAACTAAATGGAAGTAAGAAATTAAATTGGAGCAGTGTTGTCAAAAAAAGCAATTCAAACTTTCATGTCAAAAAATGTCATGTTTGTTTTGTTTATCGCATTATTAAAAATTTTAATTTAGCAAATTAAATTAATTTAATTCCTGATTTGAAATATACACATTTTATCGTTCACAATGACCGAAGGTATTCATAAATATAACCTAACTATAACAAAACTATTCAATATTTTATTTACAGATACTAAAAGTATAAGCTTATTAGTAATAATATTAGACACAAATCCGTCGCAACGAATTATAAGGCAAAATCCTCATCATTTAACCCAATGTTTAGATTCTATTGTGGCATTTGGAAATGCCCATTTAATGCAAAAAGCGCAAAATAAGCTGGCTGTGCTAGCTTGTCACCACCATGCGACGTAAGTACCCCTTAAAGAAAAACCAATTATTATGGTAGCTTATATTATTTAACAATAATTTTAGAGAGTATCTTTATCCAATGCCGGGAAAACCTTTGGAAATACGTCAAACCGATGGACAATACGAACTTTTTACTTTAGTTGAAAAAACAATTAAAATGAATTTAGCTAAGATTATTAATACTGTCCCAAAAATTAACACCCCATGTGAATCCCTACTGGCTGGCAGTGTTGCAATGGCTTTATGTTACATAGCACGGGTAATTTTGCGTTTATTTAAGTAGTAAATACTTAATAAATTTCATAGTTAGAATTTATGACAAAAATGCTGGCATACAAACCTTCTCCAGATCTCACAAATTTTTATTTGAAGAAGTTAATTCTAAAAATATGCATTATTTTAGATAAATAGAACTAAACAACCGGGAGTAAAATTAAATTCTCGTATATTGGTATTGACTGGTAGTAATGAATGCGCCTCTCAGTATATGGCTTATATGAACACTTTCTTTACTGCCCAAAAACAGGGCGTTGTACTAGATGTTTGTGCGTTAGATAAAAGCTTAAGCTTATTGCAGCAAGGTTGCGATATTACAGGCGGCCAGTATTTAAGATTACCTATATTAGATGGGCTATTACAATATTTATTATGGGTATTTTTATCAGAACCACAGACAAGGAGCAAACTTGTACTACCCCCAAAAACAAAGGTCGACTACAGAGCAGCATGTTTCTGTCACAGGGAGTTAATTGATATTGGTTATGTTTGTTCAGTGTGTTTATCGAGTAGGTTTTTCTATTATGTATAAATCTACTAAATCTATTAATCAAATATTTTTTTAGTATTTTGCAAATTTAGTCCCATATGTACAACATGCCAGTAAGTGTTTTGTTAATTATATGAGTTAAAATATTTCACTAAAAAAAAAATTCTTTCAGCACCGTCTTTAAAAACCCTGCTCCACTTGCAGTTAAAACTAAGAAGAAAAAAATGAAAGTGTAAAACAAAACTTATTTTTCAATAAAAATTTAATCATAAGAATCGCTTGTATTTATGTGTTTATTTTTATCATTTAAATTCTTGTCATTTTACAAAAATACATTGGTCCAAAATTAGCTGGCAAATAAGGTAGAACAAGTTGTCCGTATTTCAAATTTTTAGAATTTTCAAATTTAAAAATATCCTGAAAACATTTTACAACCAAACTTAAATCTTTTACGATAAAGGTAAGCCCATGTTCGACAAATAAATTTTGTAAAGCCATATGTACAACCCCATCATTTTGAACTGGACTCAAACTACATGTGGAGTATACCAAACTACCTCCGGGTTTGACAAGTCTTAAACAATTGGCAAGAATTCTTGACTGTAGTTCCGGTATTTTAAGACGTTCTTTAATTCTTCCGGGTTTAAATATATTATTATCATCTTCCGCCAAGCTATGGCGATCTGTTGTACAAGGCACATCTACTAAAACTTTATCGTATTTCTCGTATTCGTCTAACGCTAAAGCGTTATAATTTTGAATTATACATCGGTTTTGATTTATCCATTTTTCTTCAAAATCAAAAATATATTGGTTCATCACTTCATATATTCTACCGACTCGAGACTTTTGAACATCGTTGCAAACTAAAACTTCTGGATAAAGTGTCTGCAACATTAATAAAGACTTGCCTCCTGGTGCGGCACATGCGTCTAAAACTTTATCTCCATGCTTTATGTCCAAAACTAGTGGTGGTAAAATCGAAGAACCATCCATTAAAAAATGTGATAAAACTCCAGTTTCACAATTATAAGGTGGTATAAAAGTGGAACAATTTCCTTTCTCGTACGTATATAAAGATAACGTTTCTGGAAAATTAATCTCATTTTCCATTTGTATTTCTAAAGGAAAATCTGAATTGGTTGAATAATATTTATAGTGGTCAGATTCCAAAACCCAATTCTCCATTCCTTTTATTTGCGTAGCTGGAATAAAATTATGAAGACCAGCAGATCCTTGTGTAAAATCAATTACACGACTTAAAGAAAAGAATTTTATAAAGTTATTGCAAAAAATAAATATAGTAGTAAAACCTTTCATCAATTTGATAGTTTTCCTCAATTTTTTGCTCCAACGGTTTTTTAAATTCTGTTATGTCCTCAAGTATGGCCTCATCCTTAGTACTGTAACTTGCCTCTTTTATATCATCTCTTTTATAAAAAATTTTTTCTGGTAAATTAACATGGGCATCTTCTGGGTACATTGATTCGATTTCCTTTGATTCTTGCTTCTTTATTATGGCTGCTAGTGTATTATCTAAATTAATTTGATTTTTTACATCTTCATTTATATTATTTTTTAATCTTTCTTGTGCAAGATTAAAGAGCGATCTCACATTAATTGCACCTAAAATTAGTTTCCTTTATCAAAACAATATTGTTAAGATCATATATGTACTCGTCATATATGTACTCACCTTGCAATTCAAGTGCTTTGCACGTATTTTCTGAGTCTCCAAATATATTAACTAATGCAACATATTTGTGTTGGGATAATAATGCGACCCGAATACTTTTCCATCTATTGCCGAAAACTGTGCTATAAAAATCGTCAAAATGATCTAGTGCTCTTTTGGTGGCTGTAACTTTTTTCTGAAGTTTTGACTGAAATATAATTTATATATTCAGCAAAAAATTTTGTCTCATAATTCAATAAATTAACGTGTTTTATCTCAATTTACCCAATGAACTTTCGTATGTTTAAATCTGATTTGTGAAGAAGCGAAGTTCCAAATTTTTAACATTTTCACTAGTTGATTATTCAAATTCCTGTATTACACATTAGGTAAAATAATATTGACCAATTTAGTTTTACGTTTTCTAAGTTTTAATTTGTAATTTCTAAATTGTTTTATTCGTGTTTTGCACACTTCAAATGCCTTCTAATGATTTTCAAACCGTATTCGCTCACATCACATGTAATTTATAAACAAAAAACATATGTTAATTTCAGATTTGTTTTTTTACGATAATAAAATTTTATCGTTTTTAATATTTCTTCTGTAAATGTAGAAAATTTCTGCGAAGAAAAGTAAAATTTACGTTCCACACTTTAGAATTGTCACTTGTCAATGCAAATTTGACAACTATTTGACTCTTATTTGTTTTTGTTTGGAAAATAGGAATACAAAAGCGCGCAATATTAACTTTTTCATTTTTATGAAATTAAGCTCAATTTTTTTATTTAATAAATGAATAAGCAAACGAAAATTGATGAATTTATTGTAAAATCAAACGTCTCTAAAAGGGAAGCCAGTAAGAATTGTAATAACACACGCTTACAAATTCGTTTCCTACAGTACAATCTATTTAAGCAGGAGAATATTTCATTTGAGGAATTCTTAGAATTCACAAATGTAAGGGAACTAGTTCAGCTTAGTTTAAGGTAATTATTACTGAAATTTTTACAATAGAACTGAAACTCTATTTTTTAATTATTTAAGTCGCCGTCATCCGAAAACTGTACAAGCTCATACAAAATATATAGATGATTACGCTAGGCAAATATACGATTGCTGTCAAAGTGATCCAAATTATTTATCCAAAACTAAAACATTTTTAAATTTACAATGTAAACCAAAACCTTGGATTTCACAAAGTGAAAAGAACTTAATTTCAAAATTTAAGATAAAGAAACAAATAAAAATTAATATGTGTAAAAATAATGTGTTGAAAACAAGAAACAATATTTTGGATTTATGGGTTGAACTTTCAAAATATTATATAACTAATGTGGATGCAGAATTTGGTATTAGTTACTTGAATCAAAAATTGAAAAAGTATAGTTTATGTCGCATTGAAAAAGGTTTGAACAAAAAGATTCTAAAATTAAAAACAAAGCATCCGTTGAAACAATGTAACAACGGAGGAGACAATCCAATATCTAATATGAAAAAACTTGAGGCAAAATCAAATACTGTAAACAAGAAAAATAAAAAAGGTACGGAAAACATTAACTTTAATGAAGCCGGTTATGGGAGTGTCCCGAAAAGAAAACCTTGTCCTAAATCGAAGATACCAAGAAAAATAAGAGACGCGGAAACACAATTAGCAAAAAACATTCATGAAGAAACTAAATCTAAATTTCCAAAAACTGAAATTGAAATTAATAGTAAGAATGTCGATGAAAAAATGCTCAATTGGATAGAAAAAACAGATTCTGTTTGTATGAAAATTGAAATACCAAAACCAGTAGAAGAAACCCATGATAAAGGAGAATACGCAATTCTAGATTCAGTAGAATGCATTTCAAAATTAGCCAAGTTACCAAAGGAAATTAAAACAAAAAAACCTGGCCCAAAATCGAAAACTATGAGAATTCAGAAAGACAGCTTTTATCAAACTTACACAGAACAAAATATGATAGATAAAACAAATTCAAAAACAATTAGAAAAGGCGATAATATGGAATCAATTGTAAATTGCAAACCACCTTCAAAATCATGCGAAACAGCAGAAATAGAAGTGACATCGAAATTCAGTTCGTCTGAAATTATAAATGAAAAAATTATGGTAAAATTAAACATTAACAAAAAAAGCCAAAATCAAAAAATTATTAAATTTTTGAAAGAAGCGCAGCCTAAAAGTAAAATGGTTCCAGAATTTAAGGAATTAGTCACTAATGACGAACGTCAGGAATCTACTAGAGAATTATTAGGCAACTCGAATACTGATTTAAATACTGTAAGAATTTATTTTAAAAAATATCACAAACTTTTTAATAAATACAATGTTAATCATATCAGCGATGAAATAAAACAAAAAGTTATTTTAAGATGTGAACAAATGCTGGAAAAAAATTGCAGCGAAACCCTCCAAAATATTCAAACAGGTACGTCTTTATTTTAATGACAAATTTGGGAAAATTTTAATTATCTTAAAATTTCTAGAAAATGGCATCATCACCGAATTACCTTTTGCAAAACCAGAATGTGAAAGTTATACAGGAACTTCTCAAAAAAGCAAAAATCCGGCTACAGAACATTCGAAAAACGTTGTTCATCCCAATTTCAGTATTGCGGGTGATAAATCTAATTATATGAAGTATTTAAAATTGGCTAGCTCCAAAATTTCAAGCAACAAGAATTTAGTATCAGAGAATTTAAAAAAACAAGACTATATAACCAATAATGAATTGTTGAATGTTGAGCAAAAAAAAATTAGAAAAGGAAAGCAAAAAGGAGTTTTTGAAAATTCTGAAAACAGTGTTCCTAATAAACAAACTGAGGATTTAGATGAAAATATTCCAAATTGTAAGTTATATAGTGATGAGAATATTTCATCAAAGTTCATGGCTGATAAAACGGACATACAAATTAATATTCAGAGTGAAGACGCTTGTTTAGACACAATGGGAAATTTAAACAAGTCCAAGGTATTAAACAATCAGGACAGTAAAGAAGAAGCTTTTACTAGCCATAATTTTGCAGAGATTCCGATCAAAAAAGAGCACGATACACAATATTCAAATTACTTTGATGAAGTTTCGATATTATCACCAGAAAAAAATGAAACAATTATTATCGAAAATGACACGGAAGATGTTACACAAATGTTAGAAGAAATGTTGTCATCAGACAAATCGAACATAAAACTAAATTCACAACTAACAAATTGTTCTCAAGTTGCTTTAAAATATTTTCCAGAGGTTGAAAAAGCTTCTGAAAAAGATCCCGTTACATCATATCCACATTCAAATCTCCTAACTCTTACCAAAAGTAGTACTTCTGCCAAAATTCATGTAAATTCTAGTACACTTGAGATGGGGAAACAAAATATAAATAATTTATTCATTAGTAAATCTTGCCCAACATTTAGGCCAAAAATTTTACGTAAGAGTAATACATCAGATTTGCTGACTTCTCCAGAATTTTTTGAAAGTAAGACAAATGCCACTGATTCTTCAGTAATATTTCTTTCAAAATTATTAGATAATAAAGAACTTGATACAAATATAGTACAAAATAAATTCACTGATGTTAATGAAACAATGATTTGCGAGAAGTCACCACCCCGAGTGTTAAAAGACTTAGATCCATGTAAAAAAGATAGAAATAAAGATCCATTATTACCACTTTCTAACGAAAAAGCAAATAATTCAAAAGAATGCAGTTTAGGTTTGCCAAAAACACATGAAAAATCATCGAGGCCATCGTTAGATATGTTCCAATCAAGCAAATCGAAACAGATGCAAATATTTGAAAGCCAACAAGAATCACAATTACATGAACTTTCCGGAAAATCAAACCCAATATTAACGAATGATAAAAATGGTATTGAAAATACTATATGTTCTAATTTCGATGAAGTATCTTTGTTTGATAATGAGCAAAACAAAACTGTGGTAAACCATTTAACATCTAAAATAACTAAAGAAAAAAGGGAAGCAGCGGGATCTTCTAACATTACAAATAGCAATTTGTTATTACCTTCAAATAATATAGGAAAAGTGCAAATTGAATCAGAAAATGAAATAAATTATGATGGAGACAAGAATTCGGATAAAAAATCATCTAAAAAATCAGATAATCTTAATGAAAAAGATGAAGATCAAAACTTTTACAATGCAGAAGAAGTTGTAATAAAAAAGGAGCACGATACACAATATTCAAATTATTTAGATGAAGTTTCAATTTTGTCCCCAAAAAAAAGTGAGGCAATAGTTATCGAAGATGAAACGGAAGATGTTAATAAAATGCTGGAAGAGATGATGTCATCAAGTAATCCTACATCAACATCATTTTCTGAAAGTACTCTGATACAACGTCCTGAAATTCAACCAAATATTAATGATAAAAGTTACCAAACAGAAAATCAAAATTCAAATAAATTGGTGACTACAGAACTCGATAACTCAATAAAAATTCCCTTAAATCTTAATTCATTCGAAAAAACTGTTGAAGTTCCTGAAAATTTATTTAATAATAAAAAAATTTCACTGTCACAGCAAACTTGTGGAAAAGATAAAATGGATCCAATCTCTTCTTCTTTAATACCTACAATTCCACCAAAAAGGTTACGAGATAGAAGGCAGTTGGTAAAAAGAATGATGGAAAATGCTCTCAATAGTGATATTGATAGCTCAAGCTTACAACTTAATGTTGAAGGGTCGTCAAATCTGAATCTGAATTCAGTTTTTATAACAAATCAAAAAAAATCACCAATTAACCCGCAAAAAGTGCTTCCTACATACCAAAAGAACTCAAAAAGGCCAGAACTTCAATGTGAAACCCAATTTTCTGAAATTACAAATGTGCTTAATGCTACCGATGTCTCATTTACAAATAAAAACGATGATATAAAGGGTACCTTAAATTTTGAAAAGCATTATATTACAGAGCATACTTATGATAATGATGATAACTTAAAAGAAAACGTTTCGTCTGTCGATCAGAGATTTTCATTAATTGAAGCACCAAATTTTAAGGAAAAAGAATCAAAAAAAAATTTTTTGAGTATAAATGAAAATCTCAATTATGGCAATAGCGACAACATAAATCCAAAAGAAAATTGTATAATAAAATTTAATGGTCGCCCTTTTAGTTTTACTGAAAAATTACAGCAAATTATGAAGAAAAGAAGCATGTTATACAATAACGTTTTTGATGAGTCCAATTCAATATTGAATACAATTCTTCCGAAGAGATATGCAAAGCAACTGTCTAAGCGACCAATAGAAAATAAACTCAATAATCAGAATGATGATTTAGTTTTACCACTTTCTATTCGAAAATCAATGAGTTCGAAAAACGTGAACATAAATTCTTCAAATAATCATTTACTATTTAATTCAAGCTCAGAAATACCTATAAAAGCAGATTTGAACTTTGAAACGCAATTATCTGAGCTTTCAAATGAAGAGAAAACAGATCCTTTATTGTTAACCAATAAAAACAACGATATAAATAGTAATGTTAAAAATTTTAATATCGAGAATTATTTCATTGTTGAAGATCGTGATAATTGCACACAAGAAACGCCGTGCTTTATTCAAAAATTTTCGCCTTTAATATTTCAAAAGTCTCAAAATAAAGATATCCCTTTCGAAACCACTGAACGGAACAATGAAAATTTAAAATCATCTTCCAATAAAGATTTGAAAAATATAAAAGGTGAAAATTGCCAAAGTCTAAATAAAATAAAAAAAAATACTGGTAAAAAAATTATTAAGAAAAAAAACATTTCAAAAAAGATATTACCTTCTTCAAAAGAAATTAAAACAAAAAAGGATAAATCCCAAAACAAACATAAGCTTTATCACAAACTATGTCCTAACGAATCATTTGCTTTACAAGAGCGACATAAATTCCCAAGCTTACAGATTATTCTAAATCGAGGTAATGGATCAAGAAAAATTATAGAAGGACAAAATTTTTCTTCAAGTCAGCCGGAAGACACTTCAAAAGCATCAAATGAAAATCATAATAGTAAGGAAACTTCTATAATGACAAATTCTCAATTATTGAATATCGATATTACTTATTTTAATTCTTCGCAGTTGTCCAGTCAAAAGATTTACCAAATGTTATTAATTGACACTCAAAATGTATGTGGAAACAAAACAGCATCAGGTAATCATTCAAGTAATGGAAAGAATAATACGAATGATGAATTATTGCAAAACGAGAGGCGAGATTTAAATGATGTAGCGCATAACTCAAACAAATTTTTCAATGTAGAAAAGAAAAATTCAGTTGTTAACATGTATAGTGAATTCAATTCAAAAAATTATTCCGAATTCGATATTAACTTTCTAAATAATTTTTTTGAAAACAAAAAAAGTATGCAGTCTGTTAAAAATTTGAATAATCTTCATGACACACCAAAATCTTTTCCAATACCTTCATATCCATATTTTATTTTAACAAAGTTTTCAATAAATGAAATAGATTTCAACAGTTTCTCATATATTTCAAGATTTCTTCAACAAAATAATAATTCAGAAATTCTACTTAATCTATATTTAAAAATCATTATCAATATTAATTCCACAAATTTCAGTAGCCTGATATGTGACAATTCCACGATAAAAAATTTATTTAATATTAATGAAGCATTATGGTTAGATTTACTAAAAATTTTTCAATCGTTTAAAAAATTCAAATTTATACCGCACAATAATAGTTATGTCCCAACTCAAAAAGAGGAGAAAATTTTATTTTATTTTTTTAAAAGTTTTCCATCTTATGTTCTTGTTCCATTTCGTTTTAGTGAACATATCAATGATTACATATATTTTTTAAAACCTCAAAACTGTATTAAAAAAGAGAATAAAAATTTATCTAAAACTGTAGATCCGAAAATTTTAAATTCAATGAAAAATTATCGTCAATATTTATTGTCCAAAACGGAAAAATAATATTTTCGTTATTTATTTTTACATAATGTTTTTTTTGATTGTATGAGGTTTTGTTTTAAATTATTTTATTTATTTTTTGTACGAGAAATTAAAATTATTTGTTTTTGTATAATCAAAATGTATAATTATAATATTTTTCATTTATTGGCTTTTGAATACATTGCCTTTTCATAGCAGCAAGATGATAACATCAGTATTAACGAACGTAATTTTTAATGTTCGTAGATTAAAACATTTAAAAAATTTTCTAATTTTTGTTTTCTTAACAAGCAATATCGATCAATAAGTAAAAGCAAAATTATCTTTTTACCGTTTTTACTTTTTAATGTACATATCGCTCATTTACTGCAACAGTGAAATATTTCAAAACTAAGATTTCTGGGGTATTTAAGAAAGCCGAATTATCAAGCTTGAAAATTGTCGGTAACTATAAATTATGAAATAATGTAATTATCAAAAAAACTTCTTAACTGCAAAACTTTAACATTCTATTTTCTCAAATTTGCACATTTTGATTTACGTCACTGTTGTAACAAACAAGCGATATAGAATAACATTCTTTAGCTGCTTATTTAATGAATTTACTATACTAAAGTTTTATGTACATACTTAAAATTACTAAGGCTTTATAAGAACAAAATATATCGAATTAAAAAAAAAATATTATTAATTGTTATTGTTTAACTATTTTAAATATCACAAATTCTGTGTTAAATTTAATTTGATTATAAAATATTTAAAGTATAATTATTATAAACATAATGTATAAGCATATTTATATGAATAGAATAAATTGTATAAGAAATTTTCTTAATTAATTGGTTTTTTTTGTTTGTTTTAATTATTACATAAATTAACAGACTAACAATTGTCCACAGAAATCGTTGTTAGGTCTTTGATTATCATCTTCAAATGAAACCCATGTATTTTGTAAATATTCTCGACCATCTTTAATTTGTAATATATTATTTCCCATATCAGTTTCAGATAAATCTATTAATAAATCTTTTAATAATTCAACATTATTTTTTGTATCTTCTTTAATTATATTTGGTCTCTCTGTTACATAACTTCTATTATTTTCATATAAAATTTTTTCTTTATTATTAACTTCTCTTTGATGTTGATTACTTCTTATTTCTTCTTGTAACATTTTTTTATCGATAGCTTCTTTCCATCTTCGATAAGCTTGTTCAAAACTTCTTGCTACTGTTAAAGTTACATCATGAGCAATTTTACGTTTAGGACAATAAAATACATGACATAATAATTGCTCATAATTTGTTATTTGATCAATTTCTGATCCAACAAATGCAAAAACATGATCATTTGTTGCATCTGCTGAACAATATGATATTTTATATATTGAAACACGTACAAGATTTTCACCAGTTGTTGCATTTAATACTTCAATACCTTGTGATGATATATTAACTTTAACTTTTTGTATAATTTTCTTTTTAGCATTTTTCGATAATGCTACAACAGATTTTATAGCTTCAGCTGTTGATTTTTCTGATTTCTCTGAATCAATATTCGTATTACCCAAATATTTTAAATCAAATGTTGTTATATTATCATTATCATTCTTAGAATCTACTATAATTTCAGTAAGGCTAGTTCCATTATCACTTATTTCAGAAATATCTTTTAATGATGTCGCCAAGGCCCATTCTTCACTTAGTTCTGAAATTTTTGAAAATACATATATTAGATATTTATTTTTAAATATTGAAAAATAAAAAAAAAAAAAACAGAAAAACTACTTAAATTACTAATAAAATAAAATTTTTTTTTTAATTTGGACTTATTTAATATAATAGTGAGTTTTATACACTTATTCATATTAAATATTTAAATATCTTATGTTTTAATCAAATTTATGTATATAAAAATTAAACACTTAATTAATATGTATGCATGTATTCATTAAATATTTACTATTTAACAATTTCCAAAAAAGAATCTTGTTAAATAAAATTGTTTTTTCGAATTATTTGAAAAATGTATGAAAATAGAAGCAAAGTAATTAAAATATTTTCCGTTAGTGCCTCAAGTTTTTTTCCTGTTTTTTTATGTGATTTTATTTATTTTCCTGCACTAAATTTTTTAATATATTAAAAATTTTTCAACTGTTGTATAAACTTGAATAGTTTTAGATCTTAATTTCTGTTATATGTACTTTTAGAAATTTGATTAAATTTCAAAAATATAATGAAAAAAATAAAATATGATCCTGATTTTTAAAAACAATAATTGCATAATTCATAATGTAATGCGTACACTTGTCTAGAATGGTTTTATAAAATTAACTGAATCGAACACTGGGGATTTCAATAATTTAGTTCTAATTTAAGTCTTAACATTTTCAGATAAGATTTTTAAGATTTAATTTAGAACTTTTAGAATGCATGCCAGAATTATCGAAAATCCCCACTATTCTTTTTAATATCATTAGAAATTTGATTTAAAAAAAATTTCAAAATGCGCGTAAAAAATATACTCACTTTTGTGTTTATAGTGAAATTTAAATTTACGAAAAAAAGCCATAATTGAAAGTTTTTATTTTTCGTTTTAATTAATTCAAAGTTCACAATAAAAATAATATTAAAAAAAAAGTCGAAGTAAAAAACTTGTTTTTAATTTAATTTTATTTTTTAATTTTTTTTCCAAAGAATTATTACGATTTATTTTTAATTTGAAATAATTAATTAGTAAACTTTTATTGTTAATAAATTCTTTCTTTTTTGTTTCTTTGAAATTTTTGAGATTAAGTTTAATAAATTTAATGTCCAATTGGTTTTTTTTTTCCTAAATTTTTTCTCCACCAAAATGTGTAATAATTATTTATTTATTTTCAGTTTTTTTTCTTTTTTACAAAATTTTTATAAATCTAAATATTTTAATAGCGTTTTATTTTCACTTTAAACTTTACACTTCAATGGTTTAACCAGATCTGTTTGTTACTCTGGATCTGAAGCTTTCATTAAACCTTCCATCAACACATTTTTTTTTGCTTTCTTATTATTTTTTTTTTTTCGTCTTGTTTTATTTCTCTTTTATTTTATACTTGTTAAATTAATTTTTTTCTTGTTTTTAAAGCATTAATAATTATTATAGTAAATTTGTACGAGTATGTCTATGTACATATACATGTATATTAATATTAAAATAATCTATTATCATTAAAAGAGTATGTAATGAGTATCATGGTATGTAATGAAATTTATTTATAAAATTTTATTTCACATTTAATTATCATCAAAAAAAGTACATTAACATTTTTGCATCTTTTCATTTTACATTTACAGTGTTTTAGGTGTAGGGAAAAACGGATAAATGTAATCCAAAAAATGTGAATACCTATATATAAATATAAAAATATAGAATAAATTTAAATAATTTTAAAAAAAAATAGATTGCATATTTATAATTTTGAATATAATGGGAAAATATTATTTTATAATTGATTTAATATGTAATATATTTTTAGTGTGCTGCACTTATTAACTTTTTTTATATAATATGTAGATGGCAGGTCATTCAATTATTTAAAATTTATTAGATAAATTTAAAAGAATCTACATATATTCTAAATTTTTGTGTTTTAAACACATTTTATATAGAATTACTTATATATAATATTATATAATCAATGAACTACAAATTTATATTACAAATATGCAAAAATTAACTTATTAACAATAATTAAGGGGTTTTTTGACAATTCAGGTACAAACTTAAAATTCTAACTTAAATCTAGGGAACTAATTAGTTTAATTTATCAGATTTGTAAAATGTTACATATACGTTAGTTCTCTATATGATTTTTTTCAAACTTAAAATATTTTGATATGAACTTATATGATTTTGGAACGTGTTGCTTTTGTAATAAAAATTTTCCACATTCATGCTACATTTTCAGTAATATTGACATGCTAGTGATAATGATACTTATTTTGTAATATCTGCTAAGTCTAACATCTAACTTTCGAAAGTGCACTTACTTCAATTTTATTCAATAATTACTTTAGTAATTAATTTTTTAATTTTGCTTTTATACCATCTGAAAATAAATTTGAAATCAATTTTATTGAAAAAAAAAATATATATATATATATATATATATATATATATATATATATAAATTATATACAGGTTAATAAGTAATCAAATTTACATTTAGAACCTAACAGATATTAAACATATTATTTGAAACGATTACTTTAATAATTGCATATGCTTATTTGTCGAGGTATTCGAGCAAAAGGGTTTCCTATAAATTGCGATACCTAATGTTATAAACCAAAATCTATTATATTAAAAAGACTAAAGGTCAACATTAAATTTTTTGTTTAAAAGATTTTTTCTAATTCAACAAAATCATATTAAGATATTTTATATTTTTCAATTTAGATTATATACAGTAATCAGTGCGTGCATTAAAAAGGGGTAAAATTTTTCTTCTTAAAATTGATGTCAAATATTAACAGTTTCTGAAATACAAGGATTGTAAGAAAATTTTTTAGATTTTTAGATTACTTGCTCTTACCATCTGATCCAGACTGCATATGTATGGTTATATTGTCTGAAGTACACTCTTAAGAAAAAACAAAATAACACTTACTACACTGAGAAAAAAATTCTATCTAAATTAGATATTTTTTTTTAAAGAGAGATGACAATTAAAACTATATCGGATATCACGATAACCATATACTTTATAAGAAATGTTCACACAACTGTTCAATATAATTCAAAATTATTCTAGAAATAAATAGTGTTTTTTTAAATTAGTTTTCCTTTTGAGTCGTTTATAGAAATAAATTATCTAGTTGGAATAAGAGAATTTTCTAAATTAGCTACAATAATTTCGTAAATATTTTTTAGTCAAATTTGAAATATTTTTCGATGAATTGAGAAATATTTATATAGCACTTAAGGACTATTGAACATTCATATATCAAAATTGGATTACCAACGAAATTAATATTCCTTTTAGTTTTATTTTACCCGTATAACTGAAATAATTTTAAGACGTTTTACTATAAGAAGAATTGACATATATTTATGTTTTATAAAGATAAAAATTATTTTTATTTTGAGCAAAAATATTACGGGTTATCAAATATTTTATTTACAGAACACAAATATTATCTTAGAAATGATTTATGGCCACTATATAGATATGCGTTTTTTTTTGTCAGTGTAACACCAGGATTTAATAATCTAGTATTATTATTTACAAGATCAATTAGAATTTATAAAAATGCATATTTTAAAAGAAAAAGAAAACATATTCATATATTTATGTATGTACTCCTATACAAGCAATTTTTATGTTTAAAAATTGAAATTATTAATTTTAATTACACATTACTTACTTGCATGTACAAATACATAATAATATATTATAATATAAAATTAACAATATTAATATATTTTATATTATTATTATTAAATATACTGTATTTTTATATAAATAGATTTTACAAACTGTATCATTAAAAAACAAAATTTTTTAAGAGTGATTTTTTTTGAAAAATGATTAATAATTACAAAACTTAAAAAATATTTAATTTATCTTTTTAATTAATTTTTATAATAACTTGTATCCTATATTTGCATACTGTTCAATGAACTATTTTATATTGATTGTAATAACCAAATATCGTAGACCAAGTCCCAATATAACTGTATAGATGTTTAATGATTTCAAAAATTAATTGCATACTAAATTTTTAATTTGGTACCTACAAGTATGCAATTAAACAAAATACTACTCAAATTACTTCATATATCCATATATGAATATTTATACCTATCCATAGTACATCTTATTAAACGTAACCAATTTAAAATTTAACGTTATTAACAATAAAATATTGGATCATATTTTTCTATTAAGTACTTTAATCTTATTATTGTTTAAAAGAAAATTAATTAATCATTTCTTAAAACTCAAAGATGCAATTTTTAATCGTAACCTTCTAATTAAAAAAAAAATGGTTTCTTGTTAAAATTTTTCAGATACTCGTTTACTGTTATCTATACATGTGTGTCTAATGTACATATGCGTATATACTATGTACCAAATTCCAATCGACGTATTAACCCAGTTCTATTGAATCATATTTTTTGTTATCAATATTTTTCTTCCTTTCTATGATTTGTTGTTATGGTTTAAAAAAAAAAAAAACATGATTACAAAATAGAAATTGTAAAGAAGTCGCAATACCCGAAAAAAAAAAATTTGATGACGACGCAATTGCTTTATAATAATTATTTTAAGATTATATTTGCACACATACACATACATACATAAATATATATAAATATATAATTTAAATTTACATATATTATTCTTGAAATATTGTTTACATAAACGTTTTATACATATTTAATGGCCATTCTCAAAATATTACGTATTTGATCTCACTTTTATTTGTTTTGTTTTTTTTTTTTTATTTAAATCAGCTGGAATTTGGAATTTCTATTCTTTGATTATTTTCTCTTTCTTGTTTTATTATTTTTTTTTGTCTTTTAACAGTTTCTCAATATTTTTGATTTCATTTGAAATTGGTAAGAGTTTTTTTAGAATAAATTATCTAATTGTAAGATATCAGAGTTTACTGAAATTAAAAACAAAAATAAAAATATGCTAAATATGTACATATGTATGTATGAATTTTAGCATATCCGGTATTTTTCAAAAATTTTAAAAGATATAAAAAATATAATATTAATAGATATAAAAACATAATATACGAAATATAAAAATATAATATTACATTAGCAAATAATAAATTGTACGATGTTATATTAATTAGAATTGAATTATAAAAGTATTTTACGCGACACATACATATGTAGCATCTAATTGAGGAAAATGACAAAATTTTTAAGCTAGAATTTAATTGACAACTATTATTGATGTATAATTTTTATAATTAAAATAAATATTTTTATTTAGATCACATAATTTAGAAAATACAAGGCACCCTAATCCAATAATTTAGCATTCTATATTCACAAAGCAACCTGTTTATGAAGCAGATCATAAGTCTGAAAGTCGGTTCATTTTTAATTTCAAACTTTCATATAGCTCTAACATATGCCGATCAAAGAAAGAAGAACAACGAAAATATTACAAATCCGCTTTAATTTTGAAATTTTAAATTTTCCGCTTTATTAAAAAAAATTTAATATTTTCGTTATATACATACATATATCTGGATTTTTGAAAAGGCACACAAAAAAAAAAATCAAAAGTCAACTTTTCAACAATGTTATAAAATTTATTTGTGATACATAATACGCCATCAACATATAAGATTTAATTAATTCGTAATAGTTCGTTCGTATATAGAGAACAGGAAACATTATTATTAGAGTTATCATAAAAATATTTGAGTAATATTTTGACTTTAACATAATTTTGACGTTCAATTTTAATATTAATGCTTAAATTTTAAAATTGAATATTTCTTTAGATTTTTTAAATAACTCTAATATTTATATTGATGGTTTAAACTGGTTGAACATTTTATTATTTTATGAACTTAAATCATTTATTTATGTAATATTATTCTTTTCTGTGATTACGAGTATATGAAGCATGTACTTATATGTATGTACATAAATAGATTCTTATCACTTTCTTTAAGTATATAATAAATTAATATTCTTTGTACCATGTTGTACTTGTATATGATACTAAAATTTTTTTACAATTAATCGCAATTTAATTAAATTATATTGTAGTAAAACAAAATATTATTATTGTTGTATATGTAATTGAAAATACGAAAAAGACCTTTACAATTAAATCATTTGTTAATTTGACCTGCATTTAATTTTTTTCTTTCTAAATAAAATAAATTTCGCATTTAAAAATTAAAATT